AGGGAGAACATATGTCGATTTTTTTTCTGAGTCTGTGTTACTTCACTTAGTATAACAGTTTCTAGTTCTAACCCTTTCTCTTTTTAAGACAAGATCTCACTCTATAGCTTAGAGTGACCTGGAACTCATTGTGCAGCTCACACTGACCTCAAACTCCTGGAAATCCTCTTGCCTCCCAAGTACTGGAATAACAGATGAGAATCACCACACCAGCTTCATTTTGTAATATATTTTTATTTTCAAAGATATTTTATGTATGATTTTTCATATGGCTTCAAAAATTGTGTTTAATGATTTATTTTCCTATAGTAAGTTGTGAAAAAGGACATTTACAGGTCTGAAATGGGTATAAATGCTGGTAGATGAAAATAAACTCGGGAGAGGTTGGCAAAATAAAGTTTCAAGATCTTCTTCCCCATCTCATCTCCTTTTTATGTTTCTTCCATTTAAGGTCTTTCAACTTGGGAAAGTAAATGGGCTTCTTTGAAAGGAATAAAAGAAAAAAATACCCTAGTCCTAGAGTGTACTGAAGAATGTGGGATAAACTCTACAACCGTAAAACCAAAGTGAATTTATGCATTCAACTCCCAATAAAATCACAGGACCAATGAAATTCATATTTAGGACATTAAAGTGATGATAGGTAATAGATGGTGTTTAGAGTTATAGTGTAGGTTATCTCAATTTGACAAGAAAATTCCCCCACTTCTCTCTTTTCAAAGAACTGGCAAGTTTTCTGAGAGCAATCTGTCAAGGTCCTTTGATTTTTTTTTTAAGTCTTTTTTAAACAGGGTCTCCCTATAGTCCCAGCTGGCCTGGAACTCACCATGTAGACCAGGTTGGCCTTGAATTCACAGAGATACATCTGCCTCTGCCTCCCAAGTGATGGGACTACAGATGTGCACCACTACGTCCAGCAGGTCCTTTAATTTTTGTTGTTGTTGGTTTTTGTTTGTTGTTTCATTGGGAGTGTTCAGGCTGGCCTGAAATTTACTAGACAGATAATACAAACTGGACTGGAACTCATGATCCTCCTGCCTCAGTCTTCTGAGATAACATGCTAATATTATAGGCATGTGCTACCACACAGAGGGGTCACTGTATAGCCCAGGCTAGTCTCAAGCTTACAGAGCTCCTCCTACTTCAGCATCCCAAGTGCTGGAATTATAGGTGTTTGGAATTATAGGTCAGAGCCTTTGCTTTTTAATATGTTGCTCTGTATCATTCAAATTAGGCAATCACTATTTCTAGTTCGTGTCACAAAAACTAGGCCAACACTGGAGAACTTACTGAAAAAGTTGATGTCTGCCTCCTGCCTATAGATTCTCAATAGGTGATCCTCTGGCAAGTCACTTCTTTGGACCACAATAGTAGTTTTTTTTTCTTAAATTACTACTTTGACTCCATATTTAAAATATATAAGATGACCCCATTCTCTACTGAGTTCATGACTTCTTCTCAACAGAGCCAAGCATATCTTATAGGAATCAGGTAAACATTACTTTCCAGTTAGTGTGTATGTCTGTGCCAGTCTTTTCATATCTGTGTCTCTGTTAGGGTGATGATTAGGACCAAACCCAGACACTCACACATGGTAGGTAGTATTCTGTCACTATACCCCAGCCTTGGTCTGTTTTGTTTTCATTCTTAACCTTTCCCAGTTCCTGGCTGTTGTTCTTGGTGTTGGATTCCCTGGAACTGGAATTACGGATGGTTGTTAGCCACCATGTGAGTGCTGGGAACCGAATCCAGGTCCTCTGCACAAGCAGCCAGTACTCTTAACAACTGAACCATCTCTCTAGCCCATTTAAAAATATTTTTATTATTATCTTTTTCATTTCTTGTATTGTAGTTCAACTGAAATATTTCAAATTGATACTCTTTTTGAATTTTTTAAAAAAATAATTGATAATTTCATACAGGCATATAAGCATATAAAGTGTTTTGATCAAATCCGTGCCCAATCCTTTCTCTCCAACTCCTCCCATATCTCTCCATCACTTTTTTCTGACAACTTCACGTACTTTCTTCTTTTTGCTACTCTAACATTCCGCCCTCTGAAGAGGTAACCCTAAAATCTTTTAAGGATTAGATAAGAGCTCCCAAATACTTTTGACGTTTTGGCCTTTGGAATGGAGTATGCTGCTAAGAGGCCCAACGACATTTTGACTTTTTAGCCAAGAAACTGGGTACTTTTCTTTGGGGTCTTTTTACACTCACTGCCTAGCCAATTCCTACCTCCTATTCTTTTTTTAAAAAATTTATTTATTATTTTTATTTTATCTGTATGAGTGTATTGCTTGCATGTATGTGAGTGCACCCGTATCATGCAATGCCGCTGAGGTCAGAAGAGGGCTTCAGATTCCCCTGGAACTAGAGTTAAGGATGATTCGAAGCTGCCATGTGGGTGCTGGGAATCGAACCTGGGCCCTCTGCAAGAGCAGTCAGTGCTCTTAACCACTGAGCCATCTCTCCAGCCCCATACGTCCTATTCTTATCACACCATCCTCTGAAGAGGTTACCTAACTTGCGGATAGGGAATCAGGACGCAGACTGCTCTGGTTCTTCCATGCTGAACAGGGACGCAGAGTGGGTCTATCTAAAAGACTCCCAAATTGCATAACTCTTATCTGTATGGGGAAAAGAAAACCCTTGACTTGTGAATAGGAGATGTGAAGGAGAAGTATAGGCAAGAGTATAATTAGCATTACAAGTTCTAGACAGGGAACTAGAAAAAAGAACAGGGCAAATT